CAATGTGGCTCTTGAAAGCACAATCTGACGTTGTAGCATGCATTGAAATAATGCTTAGCACGCCAATGCTCATTTTTCTGAAACACCAATGCCACAGTGTTGTTTTCTTGTGCAACAATGTTGTGAGGTACTATAGCACTGACCCTTGGCTCAACCGCGACATTGTTTTCCTGAAAATTCTAGAGCAGTCAGTAGTGTAATGTCTAAATTATGCACTAGGGCATTATAGATGGAAACACTGCGGCATTGAATTTATAGGCGCTATGGCATTCATTCAATACTTATGAATTTTTTCTTCTCCAAAATATTTCACGCACAAACATAACTAAAAAAATACATTTTCATTAAATTTTAAAATAATAAATAGTATATAATTTACACTAAACATGTATCTTAGCTAAAGGAAGAAGTCTAACATTATATTTATTATGAAGGTAATTATGTTTATATCTCCTTAATAGTTTCACTTGCCATCATTTATTTGTGGTATAGATTATCAAAACTAATTAAAAATTTCCATTGAGACCACAAGTTTTCCCTCATCATTGAGTTTATGTAAGTTTATCATAACTAGTCATATTTTCCCAGCGTACCCATTTATCCTAGTTTGGCTCATCCCAAACTTGGTATGAGTTATCATAACCGATTAGATTTCCCATATGGATCACCCCTAGTTTAGTATGCATTGAGCTTAATTTGGGTTAAAAAAATTTAAATCTCCTCTTAATTTGTCCCTTGAGCACATTTTAGGTTATCAAAATGCATAATGATCATCCCAACCTTTGCCATTTGTCAATATGGACATGAACCATAATAAACTATTCTCATGGCAAGTACCTGGGCATCATTTAGCTCATTTCCCTTGTTGGATGTTTGTAGTGCCATCATTTTCCACCATGAATTGCTTATCATTATTCGACAACCCATAATAGACATTTTGATAGACACCTTTCTATTATTAAGAGTGCAATTATAGCTTCTATAGTGATTGGATCACCTGATGACATGAATTGAATATGTTAGAAGTTATAAGTTTATTAAATGTTTGTTAAATTTATGTAAGATTTTAGAACCTATTTTTATGTTGAATTTTTGTCAAAAGAGGTTGTGATTTGAATTAGAAAAGTGAAAACAAGTTAAGTATGGAATTTTTTAGGAACATGATGGCGATGTGGTAAGGCAACACTGCAGTGGGAATCAAACCTTGAACCTTTGGGGTATGTAAACTAGCATTACTCATTAGGCCACAAAAGTCATTTGTGTTTTAGTTTTTACTATTTTCTTACTTAAATTACAATTAAATCAATCATTAATACCATTTTTTTCTTGTCTTGATCTGATTTACATCACTAATAATCATATATATTATGTGTATGTTATATATTTCTTTTTTTTTATAAAATTAACACATAAATATTTAAAGTGAAATATGGTAATCATAAGTTTATGTCTAATATAACTAATAGAATGTAGAATATAGAGTTTAATAACTTACAAAAATAAATATTAATATTTTTGAAAGATCAAAATATTATATGAACTATTAAGTAGAAATGCAAAAAGACATCACCTGATAATATATTTTGAAAAATATCAATTTATGCCTTCACTAATAAATTTTTTTGCTCCTCCCTTGAGTATGTGCAAATGTCATATATCATTTGTATCATGTATATGTATCTATATCAATGTCAATATGCATCATGTTCATGTATTATATCATGTATCTTATTGCTCATACATTTGTATAGCTTGTGCATGCTCATGTTATCTTTATCATCACATCATGTATGCATGTACAAGTTCATATTAATGCAAGTTAGGACATCCTGTCAATCACATGATATTTTCCTGTTTCTTGTACTATCATAATCATATGTCAATGTGCTAGGTGGCTATCTTGTAAGAGTCTCCATTCCTATCCTTCGACATATCTTGTTCATTTATGACTCTCTATCTTGTATAATTGGATTAATAAGCATGGAACCTATGTTGATTGTAGTAGACAGGGAGAATGACTTTAGACGAGATTTATTTTTAGAGTATTAAAGAAAGAATTATATGTCTTATGGATTCAAAGAATAAGAGTAAATTTTCACTTTCATTAGAAAATACTCCTATAGTAAATGGATTTCTTAATATGCTTCATGAAGAAACAATGAATTTACCATCCAATTAAGAAACATTATTTTATATTAAGATACTTATTTCAAGAGTTAGTAGGTTGATGTTATGTCAAATCTAGAGTTTGATGAAAATGTGTATTGACTATATATGATTAAATAAAGTGATTATCGAGAATAAGTATCCATGACCTTGAATTGATGATTTGTTTGATTAATTGTATTATATAAGAAGAAATTTGAATAGTATGAGTTAAGGGTAAAGGAAGAGAATTTGAATGAGATAACACTCGATAATATCCTTTTGATCTGATTATTGCACCTGCAAATTATAAGAACCTAATGGATCAAGTGTTTAAGTCATGTGTAGATTGGTATTGTGATTGTGTTTATCAGTGGTATATATTGATGTTTTTAAGAATATAAGAAGATTATACTAGTCATCTTGTACTAAAGAATTTCAAGTATTTGGTGGCATATTATAAAGGTTTGGAGTGTGTATTAATATAATCTATGAAAGTGATAATATGTGCATCCAGACAATTAAAATCATATGAGAAGAACTATCTTATGCATGACTTTGAGCAAATGGCAATTAATGTGAAATTTAAGTATTAGAACACTATGGTAGGTAAGATTAATTAATTAAAATTTTGATCTCAATGTTTAGTGTCAAATTAGGAAGATCAAATATTGTTATGGATGGTTTCCATAAGAAATCTATAGTAATAGAAAAATTGAGGATTTTGACTAAAATTGTATTAATCTCTGAAATGGAAAAGTGTTAAATTTGAAAATAGTTAAAATACTCGACATGAGCACTTGAGCAAATTTTCTTCAAATGATTGTTTAACCAACTTCATCTAAGAAGATTCAAGAGATTTAGGATATTTATGAAGAAAATAAGAAATTGATTAAATAGCTCAATTAAAAAACAGAGAGAATAATTATAGGTAACTATGAGTTACTAATGACTCAATTATATGAGGAAAGGATTCTTAGGTTCAGAATTGGACGATAATGTTCGTAATAAAGATAGAGCTGAAATATTTGTTTATATATTTGTACTGTCAAATCATATGACTGATATTCATAATGTATTTTTAGTATCCTCATTAAGGAGAGGGATAATAGTTGAAGCGACGAGAATTTTAAAATATGAAATACAATTAGTTTATAAATTGACTTATAAAGAAGAAGTTGATTGCACACTAGTTTATGATGTGACATAATTAAGGAATAAGTAGGTTCTTATATTGGAAGTTCAATAGAAGCACAAATATTTGGAAGAAATAAGCTGAGATGAGGCAGCTTTATTCTAATATGTTTTGATTGCTAGCTTGTGCTGAAAATATTGAGAACAATATTTTTCTAAAGAGGGGAGACTATATAGTTGATTCTATAGTGATTAGATCACCTGATGACCCCAAATTAAATCTGATAAAAAGTTACAAGTTCATTTAATGCATGTCAAATTCCTGTAAGATTTTAGAATCAATTTTTATGTTGAAATTCTATCAAAGAGATAATGGTCTGAATTAGAAAAGTGAAAACAAATTAAGTAGAAATTTTTTTTTAGAGTGCGACAATGTTGTAATGGAGACACTTTTTTTTATATATATTGAAAAGCCCTTGGGGGCACAACAACATGGTAAAAGCAGTGCTACGTCACTCCTCTCTCTATTTTTCAATGTAGAGGCAATGTACGATGGGGATGCTGCGGGATTGAGGATCCTAGAAGTTGCGCTGTGACACTGGGAAATAGCGCTAATATCTCTATTTTTACATACATACATACATATGTGTGTGTATATATATATACAAGCACACACCATATGAAGTGGGATTATTTATGATCGCATTTAGGACTATAAGTGAATGAGTTGAGCCCAATAAAATATTGTCAAACACATTCATTTGTTTTTTTATTAAGTTCAACTCAAGCTTGAACATGATCCTTGTTTTGAAGTATTGTTCTAGGTTTTTTATTTGTTTTCTTATTGAGTTTGAGTTATAATCGATATTTAATTCAGCCTAAATAATTAAATATTTGATGCTAATGATTTAATCATATAACATAGCCTTATTAGTTAGGAGTGTTACACATATATCATAAAATTTTTAGGTTTAATTGTATATCATTTTGGTATATAAATCACTTCAAAGTTATACATAAAAATGTTTGTGTTTGAATAACTTAAAATTAATGGACTTTTTATGTGATCTACAGAGTTAAGTGTTATATAAGTAAATATAAAGATTTACGCATTATATATGTAATTATAAGAATTTTATAATATGTAAATACAAATTATTTTAATTTAGATATCTAGCTATTTGTTTAATCTTTTCAGCATATTTATATTTATATATCTAATAGCTATTTGTTTAATCTTTTTCTAATTTTATTCAATCTTGTACAGTTATTTATATAAATAATCCAACTATTCATCAAGTGCAAAGCATATTCATGAGGCAAGGGATGAAACTTGGGCTTTGTTTGGGACAACTTTCTTACCGCTTCTTAAAACAACTTTCTCATACAAAAATTAAAAAATTTTGTATTAAAAAATTGCTTTAAGAAAGTCATTCCATATGAAACCATAGACTTCGTTTGGGACAGCTTTAGACCACTATTTTTTATATGCTTTTAAAAGATTATTGCACTAAAAAAATAATTTTACTGAGCAGTAAAAAAATCATCCCAAACAAAGGCTTAGGATTCCCCTTTTATATTCTCTTTCACCTTAATAATTTGTGTTGCAGAAACTTCTTGATATTTTCTCTACTCAGATGCAAAGATCTTGAGTAAATGCAATAAAAAATCAAAATAATTTCTTCTCAAGGCATATATCAAAGCGATCATCAGATTCAGCATTCATAATAATTTTTCTCAAACACATTTATATCTAGTTTTGCTCCTCAAATTATATATTTTCCATGGAAAATCAACTGGTGATCTGAAGACTTCACATGGTGAAGTACACAGAATAATCTTTCCTTCATAATGTAAACCATTCATATAATACAATGCCAACTGCACATGCAAATAGATGAACAAGGCATTAAAGCAAAAAAAAAAAAAAAAAAAAAAAAAAAAAAAAAAAAAAAAAAAAAAAGCAAGGACACACTTTCTGCTATGTTCATTGAAAAGCATGGCATTCACTTCACTCAGTTGAAGAAGACCAGTCTGCAGGAATTTACCAACGGTCCATAAATCCCAAGCTGAATCTGACACTGTTTTCTGCAAATAACTGGAACCTTAAATCCAGGCCTATGAGGAAGAGCTTGACAAACTGACCGCATAGTACCTCGCATGCCATCTTTAATCGAAATTTTCCTCCCATATGTTTCAGTACCCTCATCTCTTTCATTTAATGTACCCAAACTCTGTTTCTGATGAACTACTTCAGAGTTCTTGGATAGACTATCAATTGAAAATCTTAATTCTGGACTGGAACTAAGATCATCAAAGGATGTCAATATTCTGCTTGCCTCATTTTGCAATCCAACAGCCTTCCAGGCTTCTGCAACAAGACTAACACTGTTAATTTTTGGCTTTACTCCAACTTCTCTCATCATCTTAAGCATTTCTTCTGCTTTCCATGGCTGCTTCAGCTCTCCATAACCCCATATAAGTGTTTCAAATGTTTTGATGTTGGGAGAGACTCCGTGTTCGCGCATTTTCGCAAAAACTCGCATTGCATTATCCATTCTGGCGGCGCTACACCAACCACTGATGATTGTTGTGAAGGTTATAACATTGGGCTGAACTCCAAATTCTTCCATTTTTGTTAGAAGGGCTTCTGCTTTATCAGGTTCCCTTGCTCTAACATATCCTTTAGCAAGAATGCTATAAACCTGAGCATCAGGAGCAATTCCTAGTTGCAACATTTCATGAAAAATATCCATGCATTTAGTCATGATACCCTTTGCACCCCAGGCATTCATCTGATGACTGTATGTTACAACATCTGGTTTCACTCCAGCTGCTTCCATCAGTGTTAGAACCTGGCAGAATATACAAATTATGCAAATATCTAAATTTAAAACCTGGAATGCAATTCACTTAACCCATTCACGTTAGTGGGTTATCAATCTGATTTTTCTGCTAATAAACTATCTGGAAATGTTTTAAAATAGCGAGCAAATATCTTATATAATAATGTTTAAAACAGTATGTATTTGTTAGACAGGTCCAGCCAGTCCGCACGGGACCGCCCAAACACAACAGAGGAAGAATTTCTCCGTCTCCTGCGCATGCCGCGGATGCCACGAGATCCATGGGAGCTATTTTGGAAGGTTTTTTGAGAGAATTGGGAGAGAAATTTGAATGTAGGGACTGTTTAGGGGTTTCCTTTTAATTTGTATGCATTAAATAGTTTGTTTTCCAAAGATTAGGACATCTTGAATTTGGTTGAAATTTGAGATCACTTAGATCTAGGTTTTTTTTGAGCTCTAGCGGTGTCTATAGATTTGGGAGAGATCGATCCTCCTCTCGAATAGAGGATCAATTGTATCTTGTTGTTTTTCTTCATACTTTAGTGAATTTCAAGTGTTTTTCTCATATTTTTCTATAGTTTTTGCAAAACCAGCATTATAGTTGCTGTTTTTTTTTTTAAATCCATCAGTTTTATGGATTTATAGTGGTCTACAAGTGCTTCCTATCAAATTGGTATCAAAGTAGTTTTTGGGACCTTTGGTGAGCTGTTTTGGTGAATTTCAGCGGCTGTTCTTGGGATTTCAAAGAAAAAAGTTGCTGTTTTTGGAGGTCAAAGCCCAAATTTTTATTTCTACAAAAATCCGAGGATCAATGGCGGCCAAGAAAATGGAAGCGTTGGAGGAACGCCTCGAAGTGGATATTGGACAAATGAAATATGAAATTTCAGATCTCCAAACTCAAGTTTCAGATTAAAAAAAGAATGTTTCAGCCATCCATGATAAGTTCGATTCGAAATTTTTCATCCTGAAGGAGATGTTAAAGAAAGTGCTCAAGAGCCAAACCAAAATATCACCGTCGGAGGGGAAGGAAGGCGCCGACCGTCAGGGGGATGGAAAAAACCCTAAGCAAATCAGACAAAGGGGAGATCAGAAGGTGGTGACTCGAAAGGTAGAACAGAGAACACCTCTACTAGAACCTATTCCTAGGGAGGAGCCAAGCAGAGGGTATGAAGAGAGGCATGAGGAGGTAGGGCAAGAACGAAGATGTGCTGATTTGGAGAGGAGAGGGGCGAGATTGGAAAGAGAAATGGGTAATTATGATCAAAGAGGGGCTGAATTTGAAAGAGGAAGGGTTTGTTATGATCCAAGGAGTGCTGAATTTGAGAGGAGAATGTGAAAACTTGATGAAAGGCTAGGATATGAATGTAGAAGGGATGATTGGGATACTTGGGGGTAACCATCCCCTTGGGGAATGGGAAATTATGGAGGGAACAGAGGGAACGACGGTGATCCGAGGGTGAGGAAATTGAAGATGCCAATCTTTGAGGGGGAGAATGTGCACAGGTGAATCTGCAAGGTTGAAAGATATTTCACCGTTAATGGGTTGACGGAGGAGGAGAGACTGACAACAACAAGCTTATGTTTGGAAGGAAAAGCTTTTGCTTGGTACCAATGGAGGGACATGCGACGACCCGTACAGAGTTGGAGGGAGTTCAAGGATTGTTTGATAGAACATTTCCGAATCGGCAGGAGAGGAGACTTCTACGAGCAGTTCTTCTCCTTGATGCAGGATGGTTTAGTGATAAAGTACCAGGAGAGTTTGAGTACCTTGCTAGACGATTGGACCGCCTTTCTGAGACAGTGCTAGAGGGGAACTTCATGAAGGGATTGACACCAGAGATCCGGGCAGCGGTTAGAGTGAAAAGGTCTCGTAACTTAGGAGAGGCTATGGAGCTAGCTCAATTGGTAGAAAATCAGAGGCACATGGAGAGAGAGACAAGAGACGGCAACTCAAGAGGCCCGTATAAGATGACCATCACCTTATTGAAATCCAAGGAGCCAACACTGGATGCTCTTCGGGGGACTTCGAAGGAAAAGACAGCAGGAGGAAGACCTGGGGACAACTTCAAGAAGCTCACAGAGACAGAATTACATGAGAAGAGGGCGAAGGGACTCTGTTTCAAATGTGACGAGAGGTATACACCGGGGCACAGGTGTAAGGACCGAACTCTTCAGGTTCTTACTCTTTGTGATGAAGAAGGAATGGAGAAGGATGTCGTCTTTCCACCTTGCAGATAAGGTGAATCTTTGGAGGGGGAGTATTGTTAGATCAGTCCAACCGGTCCACACGGGACCAGCCCAGCGCAACAGAGGCGGAACTTCTCTGCCTCTTGCGCATGTTGCAGATGCCGCGAGATCCATGGGAGCTATTTTGGAAGGTTTTTTTTAGAGAATTGAGAGGGAAATTTGAATGTAGGGACTTTTTAGGGATTTCCTTTTGAATTATATGCATTAAATAGTTTGTTTTCCTATGGTTAAGGATCTTGAATTTGGCTAAAATTTGAGATCTCCTAGATTTAGGTTTTCTTTGGGCTCTAGCGGCGTCTAGAGATTTGGGAGAGATCGATCCTCCTCTCAAATAGAGGATCAATTATATCTTGCTATTTTCTGTTTCCCTTTCATCAAATAATACAAATTATCTACTGTTTTTGTGGTTTTGTGCGGATTTTTGTGAAGAATTCTCGCAGTTTTCCGAAGATTGATAGGAAATACTTGAGATCTTCAATTGTTTCCTATCAGTACTCTAGTGTACCAAATATGAATACAAATACATCCGCCAATGATGATTTTGATGAGTAAAAACACTTTTTTTTATGCTTTAGTCATCATTATGCGAGCACATTGGGATTGTTAAGCTTGATTTTTCTTCAGAGTGATACAAGGTAAAACCACTTAGTGCTGTTCATTTTTTTTTATTGGACATTTAGACTTCTTTTAGAAGTTATTTCTTATGTTTAACTATAACTTCAACTGACAAGTTGGTGAAACAACAAAGTTCACTGAACTTTGACACATGACTTGGGTAGCCTAACCAACAAAATTCATAGGCAGCCAATTTGAGCAAACTTAGTCGGTTAGTTCGGGAAGCCCTAAACTATCATATTCGTATTCAATCTGTTAAGTCAGCCCATGAAGCCTTCACCCACAATTGTTTGTGTCCTTGGGCCGACTACGATGGTTAATTCGGATTGTCTACCAATAATCATATTCACAACCAAACAAGAATGATGAACTTGAATAATAAAGATATTGTCTTGATTCTAAAATGGTTGAGACCCGTAGGTTAAGGATGCTAATGTGTTGCAAACTTGAGCGAAGGAACAAGGTGGAGATTTACGCTTCTGTATGGTGGAGCTTAGGATATTGATGATATATGATAGCTTATGGATGTAGGATATTAGGAAGTAGATGACACCTTAAAGATAATGTTAGGGATCTATAATAGATTGTTGTTAATAGAAATATTTGTTATAGTTAGTTTGAGTTAGACTTAGGGTTATTGAGTTTTTTCAATAAAATTTCTATTTGGAGACATTAGGATAGGAATGAAAAAATGAGTTGAGACTCCTCTAATCTAGAGTTTTGATCTCTTTCTCCCTCCACATCGAATTTTTGGAGTTGCAAGCGACATATAGTAGTTCCGAATCGAATCTCTTTAGAAAGAAGATCTTTTGTCTCATGGTAGCCTGCTCCATTCTGTTAGACCGGTCCACTGGACCGGTCCAGCCGGTCCGCACGGGACCGGCTCAGACGCGAAACGTCGCGTGAGCGACAGATCTCCGCCTCCTGCGGAGATCGATCGGCCCGACCAGCCCATTAGAGCATTTTAGGAAGCGTTTTTTAGCGTTTTGAGAGGGAAATTTGAACGTAGGGACTGTTTAGGGAATTCCTTTTGATTTGTATGCATTAAATAATTGATTTGGCTAGGGTTTGAGTATCTTGAATTTGGCTGAAATTTGAGATCTCTTAGATTTAGGTTTTCTTTGGGCTCTAGCGGCGTCTAGAGATTTGGGAGAGATCGATCCTCCTCTCAAATTGAGGATCAATTGTATCTTTGTTGTTTTCTTCTTCTACTAGTAAAATACAAGAATTTTTCTTCGTTTTCTATCAGATTTCCTTGTCAATAAAAAAAAAAAACAAGGACACCCTTTCTGCTATGTTCATTGAAAATCATGGCATTCACTTCACTCAGTTGAAGAAGACCAGTCTGCAGGAATTTACCAACGGTCCATAAATCCCAAGCTGAATCTGACACTGTTTTCTGCAAATAACTGGAACCTTAAATCCAGGCCTATGAGGAAGAGCATGACAAATTGACCGCATAGTACCTCTCATGCCATCTTTAATCGAAATTTTCCTACTATATGTTTCAGTACCCTCATCTCTTTCATTTAATGTACCCAAACTCTGTTTCTGATGAACTACTTCAGAGTTCTTGGATAGACTATCAATTGAAAATCTTAATTCTTGACTGGAACTAAGATCATCAAAGGATGTCAATATTCTGCTTGCCTCATTTTGCAATCCAACAGCCTTCCAGGCTTCTGCAACAAGACTAACACTGTTAATTTTTGGCTTTACTCCAACTTCTCTCATCATCTTAAGCATTTCTTCTGCTTTCCATGGCTGCTTCAGCTCTCCATAACCCCATATAAGTGTTTCAAATGTTTTGATGTTGGGAGAGACTCCGTGTTCGCGCATTTTCGCAAAAACTCGCATTGCATTATCCATTCTGGCGGCGCTACACCAACCACTGATGATTGTTGTGAAGGTTATAACATTGGGCTGAACTCCAAATTCTTCCATTTTTGTTAGAAGGGCTTCTGCTTTATCAGGTTCCCTTGCTCTAACATATCCTTTAGCAAGAATGCTATAAACCTGAGCATCAGGAGCAATTCCTAGTTGCAACATTTCATGAAAAATATCCATGCATTTAGTCATGATACCCTTTGCACCCCAGGCATTCATCTGATGACTGTATGTTACAACATCTGGTTTCACTCCAGCTGCTTCCATCAGTGTTAGAACCTGGCAGAATATACAAATTATGCAAATATCTAAATTTAAAACCTGGAATGCAATTCACTTAACCCATTCACGTTAGTGGGTTATCAATCTGATTGTTCTGCTAATAAACTATCTGGAAATGTTTTAAAATAGCGAGCAAATATCTTATATAATAATGTTTAAAACAGTATGTATTTGTTAGACCGGTCCAGCCAATCCACACGGGACCGCCCCAACACAACAGAGGAATCCTGCGCATGCCGCGGATGCCACAAGATCCATGGGAGCTATTTTAGAAGATTTTTTGAGGGAATTGGAAGAAAAATTTGAATGTAGGGACTGTTTAGGGGTTTCCTTTTAATTTGTATGCATTAAATAGTTTGTTTTCCTAGGATTAGGACATCTTGAATTTGGTTGAAATTTGAGATCACTTAGATCTAGGTTTTTTTTGAGCTCTAGCGGTGTCTATAGATTTGGGATAGATTTGGGAGAGATCGATCCTCCTCTCGAATAGAGGATCAATTGTATCTTGTTTTTTTTCTTCATACTTTAGTGAATTTCAAGTGTTTTTCTCATATTTTCCTACAGTTTTTGCAAAGCTGTTTTTTTTTTTTTTAATCCATCAGTTTTCTGGATTTATAGTGGTCTACAAGTGCTTCCTATCAAATTGGTATCAAAGTAGTTTTTGGGATCTTTGGTGAGCTGTTTTGGTGAATTTCAACGGCTGTTTTTGGGATTTCAAAGAAAAAAGTTGCTGTTTTTGGAGGTCAAAGCCCAAATTTTTATTTCTACAAAAATCTGAGGATCAATGGCGGCTAAGAAAATGGAAGCGTTGGAGGAACGCCTCGAAGTGGAGATTGGACAAATGAAATATGAAATTTTAGATCTCCAAACTCAAGTTTCAGATTAAAAAAAGGATGTTTCAGCCGTCCATGATAAGTTCGATTCGAAATTTTTCATCTTGAAGGAGATGTTATAGAAAGTGCTTAAGAGCCAAACCAAAATATCACCGTCGGAGGGAAAGGAAGGCGCCGACAGTCAGGGGGATGGAAAAAACCCTAAGCAAATCAGACAAAGGGGAGATCATAAGGTGGTGACTCGAAAGGTAGAACAGAGAACACCTCTACTAGAAACTATTCCTAGGGAGGAGCCAAGCAGAGGGTATGAAGAGAGGCATGAGAAGGTAGGGCAAGAATGAAGATGTGCTGATTTGGAGAGGAGAGGGGCGAGATTGGAAAGGGAAATGGGTAATTATGATCAAAGAGGGGCTGAATTTGAAAGGGGAAGGGTTTGTTATGATCCAAGGAGTGCTGAATTTGAGAGGAGAATGTGAAAACTTAATGAAAGGCTAGGATATGAATGTAGAAGGGATGATTGAGATACTTGGGGGTAACCATCCCCTTGGGGAATGAGAAATTATGGATGGAACAGAGGGAACGGGGGTGATCCGAGGGTGAGGAAATTGAAGATGCCAATCTTTGAGAGGGAGAATGTGCACGAGTGGATCTACAAGGTTGAAAGATATTACACCGTCAATGGGTTGACGGAGGAGGAGAGACTGACAACAACAAGCTTATGTTTGGAAGGAAAAGATTTTGCTTGGTACCAATGGAGGGACATGCGACGACCCGTTAAGAGTTGGAGGGAGTTCAAGGATTGTTTGATAGAACATTTCCGAATCGGCAGGAGAGGAGACTTCTACGAGCAATTCTTCTCCTTGATGCAGGATGGTTTAGTGATAGAGTACAGGGAGAGTTTGAGTAACTTGCTAGCCGATTGGACCGCCTTTCTGAGACAGTACTAGAGGGGAACTTCATGAAGGGATTGACACCAGAGATCCGGGCAGCAGTTAGAGTGATGAGGCCTCGTGACTTAGGAGAGGCTATGGAACTAGCTCAATTGGTAGAAAATCAGAGGCACCTGGAGAGAGAGACAAGAGACGACAACTTAAGAGGCCCGTATAGGATGACCATCACCTTATTGAAATCCAAGGAGTCAACACTGGATGCTCTTCGGGGGACTTTGAAGGAAAAGACAGCAGGAGGAAGACCTGGGGATAACTTCAAGAAGCTCATAGAGACAGAATTACATGAGAAGAGGGCGAAGGGACTCTGTTTCAAATGTGAAAGAGAGGTATACACCGGGGCACAGGTGTAAGGACCGAACTCTTCAGGTTCTTACTGTTTGTGATGAAGAAGGAATGGAGAATGATGTCGTCTTTCCACCTTGCGGATAAGGTGAATCTTTGGAGGGGGAGTATTGTTAGATCGGTTCAGCCGGTCCACACGGGACCAACCCAGCGCAACAGAGGCGTAACTTCTCTGCCTCTTGCGCATGTCGCAGATGCCGCGAGATCCATGGGAGCTATTTTGGATGGTTTTTTTAGGGAATTGAGAGGGAAATTTGAATGTAGGGACTTTTTAGGGGTTTCCTTTTGAATTATATGCATTAAATAGTTTGTTTTCCTATGGTTAAGGATCTTGAATTTGGCTAAAATTTGATATCTCCTAGATTTAGGTTTTCTTTGGGCTCTAGCGGCGTCTAGAGATTTGGGAGAGATCGATCCTCCTCTCAAATAGAGGATCAATTATATCTTGCTATTTTCTGTTTCCCTTTCATCAAAAATACAAATTATCTACTGTTTTGTGGTTTTGTGCGGATTTTTGTGAAGAATTCTCGCTGTTTTCCGAAGATTGATAGAGTAAAATGAATTTGAAAAAACATCAAAACCTTACAACCACTAAAAGTTGAGTTCAAGCTCACCAAAGACAACAGCAGCAACCAATAGGTCTCCAAACTTAAGAAGAGATCATATCAGTACAAACATGGCTTGCTTTCATGCAAACAGAATCACTTAAAGAAAAAGGAGAAAAAATTTATGCTGCTGTATAAAAAAACACAAGCAATATAAATGTTATACTTACTTCATGAACATCTTCCATGTTATCTGCATCCAAGAGAGACTTGATCAAAGTGTTGAAGACAATAACATTTGGTTGAACTCCAAGACCCTTCATTTGATGCAGACATCTCAGTGCATCTTTCATATTTCCTTCTTTGCAATAGCCACCGACAATAATAGCAAGCGAGCGTTCATTGGGACGAATCTGGTTCGGCAATTCCAAGAAAATCTCCTCAGCTCTATTTGTTTCTCCATTTTTTGCATAAGCTCTTGCTAAGGTATTGTAGGTGACAACATCAGGTTCTATGCCAGAAGCAGGCATCTTATACACAACATTCCAAGCTTCACTAAGGTTCTGATGGTCACACCAAACTTTGATGAGTATATTGTATGTTTTCCTATTTGGGCTAGCTTCTGCTTCATAAAACATCATATCCAAGAGCTTCTGCGATTCTTCAGGCCTATGGGCAATACCATATCCTTTTATGAGGGTGTTGAAGGTACTTGTTGTCAATCTACATCCACTTCTTTTCATCTGTTGGAATATTTTCAAGGCTTCATCAACCTTTCCAGCTTCGCAGAAGGCATTAATGACGGCATTAAAAAATATAGAATCTGGTTTCAGTTCATTCTTTTCCACATCAGAAATTAATGTTGTAATGGAATCAAACTTCTTCTGATCAGTTAAAGCAGTTAGTAGAGTTGTATATGTAACTAGAGAAGGCTTATGCTCTTCTACTAAGCCATAAAATATAGACTCAGCTTCTTGCGGATGCCTTTTTTCTATAAGAGTTCCCATCAACTTTGTTCTGGATCGAACTGTCCGACAACTCTCCCCACTTAAGCAGATTGGGCAGCCATGTTTCCTACCTGAAGTAAAAGCAGCATTTCCTCGAATTTCTAATTTTGTAGAGAACTCCTTGTAAACCAAGAAAGAAAAATTTCAGCAAATTGGGTGCATCCAATAAAATAAATAGCCACAAAATGAACAGAAAATTCATTTTCCAAAATACTAATAAAGAGTTAAGAAAAAATATAAATTAGGTTATCCATATGAGAGCTATGGTGTAATGAGCATTAAGCACTTCAAAGGACTGAGAGGAAAATTCAATAAATAAAGGGGTAAATGATCTACTGAGTATATCAATTATCAGAGAATATGAAACGAAAGACCGACAATGTATAGGGCCATGTATTGGAGGATGGTTCCCAATTCTAGAAAATAAAAAAAAGGATTGACTCTTGCTTAAGGTCAATAAGTATAACCAAACCTAAGGAAATTATCTACTCGGGATGGTTAACTGACTTGTGCGAAACCTGTTGTAAAATATGTGAAATTTAATTCAATTATGGAGAGTGAAAAAAAATCTGAAAATAGCAAAGAGGATCAATGCACAAATAATTTAAAGATTACAAATTTATAGTTATAACTTGTTGGCACCATTGTAGATTTCATTGGTTGTGAAGAGTTCTGCCTGAGGCAAACTAAGGGGATGTTTGGTAGCACCCAGGATTTGATTTAAGCAGGATTTCATAAATCCGCTAAATCCAGATTTCGGAAATATGTGGGGCCTAAATCCTGAAAACTATTTGGTAGCATTCATGATAAATCTTATTAAATTCCGTGTGACTGTTTGGCGATAGAACGAATTTAATGAGCGGATTCTTCCTATCCAGCCAACGGATTTCATAAATCCAACAAAAAGCAAGATTTCAAAAATTCGGGATTTAGCACGAAAAGTTGGAATTTTCCATCTACGGCGGCTTTCAATTGCCATGAGATTTGATTTTGCATTTTAGGCTGTTTGGATAGATTTTGCTCAAATCCGGCCTAAATCCTGCTACCAAACAGCCCCCAAGTCTGCATGGGGAATTTTTATTTCTTAGGGCTTAAGCTCCACGAGTTGGCAAAAACAGATAAAAAAGGATGTTGGCAATAGAAAGAAAAGGGAAACACAATTCCTACCAACTGTAAGATAGCATTTATTTTGTAGTAATATCATCAAGGCTCGTAATTGCTCATTCCAATATCCCACGACAGACTATTTAATGCATTGATAGGCTGTTGAAAAGCTAGCTTTAACAAGCCTGCCAGCCAGCACCAAACATGTTCACAACAGTCTGAATTTTTTTTTAAATATATAAGAATGATGTAGCTTCAGCCTTTCATAGATGTGCAGAGGACATCTGCCCTTAAAAAATAGTCAGCGAAAACTTGCGAAAATTTTACTATAATAGATTAGTTTTACCTTGGAATGCCAATCACGAACCAATTCTTTCTGCTGCACATTTGGCTCCCCTATATCTTGGGTAGCAGTCTTTATTAACTTTACACCATGTTCTTCCATGGTTGCGGAGCTTCAACAGAGAAATTAAAACATCATTATGAACTCATAAATGGAACTAGATAAACAAAACTTGAACAATTTAACAGAATTTGGTAAGGAAAAAAAATTTAATTTCAAGTTTTATAAGTAATGTAAGAAGAAATTACTCTACTGGAGATGTGAAGACATCTCTCAGCCTATATAGACGAAATCTTTCAAGCTTCATTTTCTTTGTGGGTATATTCACTAAAGCTTTTAATAATCTCATGAACCAAGTAACAAGAGCAGCATTAAAATATAATATTTAACTTATTATTATACCCATAAAATGCAATTTCAAACAGTGGTATCCAACAAAATTTTTAACTTGGCCTCAGTTTGCTACAGCTTGAAAAGTTAAAGCAGACCCAAAGCCTTGGTAAATATATCTACCAATTATTTTGAGCTTGAAACATAAATAACAATCTTCTTTGATAGCACCACATTCTCAACTTAAGTGACAAACAATCTAAATTTTTTTTTCTCTTTCATGAAAAAAAGTGATTACTAACGATGAAGATGACAACACGATTGATACAGTTTATAATCATGGGTTGTGTAATTGGGAAACCAAATTCCTCTAGGAGGGTCTTAACCACATCATCTCTCTATATTCTTTTTTATTTATTTTTATTTTTTGGGAACGAGGTATCCACCCGCTGTCACACCCGAAAGGGCGCATGGTGGCATGACTAATCCTCGACTGACCTAGAAGAGAAACCCACCCTAGCGGCATGACTAATCCTCGACTGACCTAGAAGAGAAACCCACCCTAGCGGCATGACTAATCCTCGACTGACCTAGAAGAGAAACCCACCCTAGCGGCATGACTAATCCTCGACTGACCTAGAAGAGACACCCACCCCAGAAAACTCCTGACCCGCACTTGATTGGGCCCCACTTAAGAGGCGCTATTGCTTGAGGGGAATCGAGCATAAGTAATACTCTAAAGAGAAAATAAGTGACATTAACTTGACTGCAACAAATGAGCAAGTGGCACTTCTTCTAAACTCTCTAATAAAAAAATCACTAACACACGAGCATGCAGAGGGACTTCATCGCTGCATCGCTGCATATAGGATTAAGTAAATCCTACAAATTCAAATCTAGTAAATCTTAAGGGCTTGTTTGGATGCACCAAGAATTTAATTTAAGTAGGATTTCGTAAATCCTGTAAATCCGAATTTATGAAATCCTAGGGGTGTTAAATACTGAAAAATATTTGGTAACATTCAATATAAATCCTAATAAATCATGTGTAATTGTTTGGCAATTCAATTCAAAATTTAAAGCGATTAAGAGATCCGACATTTATTTCTAGGATAATTAAAGTACAACAAGTGAAGTTTAAATCCTAATACTAATTAATATTATTTATAATATGTTATCATATTTAATCCTATTAATTATTTTGAAATAACTAAGTATTTAACTAATAATTTAATTAATTATTTAAATATTATTTAATTAATTTTACTTAATTATTATTAATATTTTAAATTATATTAATTAAGTTATCCAACAATAACTTAGACGAGTCTAGGTTATACTTTTTCCCTTCTCTATTTCGTTCGGCTTCGTTGCTTTCGCATGACTGTAGTTTGCACGAGTTCTTCTTCGTCGCTGTCGACTTTGCTCCTTCGACGACGTTCCCTTCCTGTTGGATTGGAAGTTACGACATCTTTGGGTTCGAAAGCAACAACGGGAGCTCGCTTGCTGTGAAGGTAACTTTCTCCCTTTCGCGAGCTTCTTCGGCCAAATCCCGTAAATCTGGCGAACCAAAGGATTTCGTAAATCCGGGATTTACCACGAAAAGTTGGAATTTTCCGTCAACCGTGGCTTTGATTTACCGTGAGATTTGGTTTTGCATTTTTGGGCGTTTGGCTGGATTTAGCTCAAATCCGCTTCAAATCCGGCCTAAATCCTGCATCCAAACAGCCCCTTTGATCGGAAGTAAGGACGGGAAGGTAACTTTCTCCCTTTCGCGCGCTTCTTCGGTCAAATCCCGTAAATCCGGGATTCAGGGAAAAAAGAGGGAAAAGGAGGATTTATTCCGCCGTGAGATTTACGTCGAGCGTAAATCCCGTTTGGCAGGATTTACGCTAAATCCTGCTAAAATCCGGCGTAAATTCTGTTGCCAAACAGCCCCTTAAAGTTTTATAATTTTTTAACCTTTCGATCAAGTTTTCTTAACAACTGCTAGTTTCTTCAAGGATCTCTGTTCCGTGGAAATTTTTACAATCCGAATTATTCTTAAGATTTAGGGGGTGTTTGGTATACGGGATTCAAATTTAGTAGGATTTACTAAATCCTGTAAATTCCTATTTAGTAAATCCTGGGCTCATAAATCCTGAATTGTGTTTGGTATGACAATTTTTAAATCCTGTAAAATCTAAAAAGATGTTTGGCAACAAATAACAGGATTTAAAACGGTTGAAGTTTTAAAATTGAAGGAGAAATACGAAGCCAACTAATTATTAAACTAATAATCCTACTAATTATATAACAAACAATTTAATTGCCATTTTATTAGTTTTAATTATAAATTTA